ATTTCCAGAAACAGATTAAAAAACAAAGTTGGCATCAAGTTTGGCAATACTACAGGAAAATTAAAATTTCTATCCTATTATATAACTTTAAATGTGTCCAACTCTAATCAAAGCCAAAGGAATTTTTGCCCAAAGTTATTGTACTTAATAGCATGGAATCTCTTGACTTTGTTGAAAGAGATTAAGTAATGCATATTAATTGGCTAAATCTTTTTATCTTAAATTAGGTTATATTATTTCTTCAAATTGATCTCCTAAATTTTTGGTTGAATAGAGATTTGGACTTTTTAAAATCACTTGATACTTTTGTATGTCTTTCCATGAAAATGTATTAAGTCCATTTTAAAATGATTTGTGTAAAAAATAGTATTCTTTTTCTATATTTATTCATGATAAAAATTAGGTTACAGAGATATTTTTGCCTTGCTTATAATGCCAATTAAGAAAACACTGTTGCAATATTATGGACTATGTTTCCTATGCCGCACTGTACATCCCCACGACTATTCTGTAACTGTCCATTTGTACTTGTCCATCCTGTCACCTTTCCCCCAGTTCCCACAGCACCTCTCCCGGATGGCAACCGCAGTCTGGTCTCTGTGTCATCAGTCTGTTTGTTTTCTTTGTTTATAGCGTTCTTGAGATTCCACATATAACGAAATCACACAGCATTTGTCTTTCTCTGACTGATTTATTTCACTTAGCGTAATAACCTCTAGGTGCAAACCGTAATTGAAACAATTTTTTAAAAGAGAAATATTAAGGATTGCTCATTGGATTTTTTTTTAGGGAAAACAATGAACCAGACTGAAGGGTGTGACTTACATCCACGTGCACGCAAAGTTTGGGGGTGCCACGAATGTCTGCGAGGGAGTCCGTGGCCCTGAACACCAAGATGCCAGCTGTGGCAGTGACACAGAATGGAGCTGGGCCCTAGTGATGAGGAAAGCTGGGTCCCTCTTTCAGTCTCCTGAGGTCCCCTGGAATGCCCACACTGTTCACCATTGCACGTCTGGGCCTCGGGGAGCCGGGTTAGCTGTGGTGAAGTGCTTCACGTAACCTAATCATTTCAGATATTCTCAGGGGCTTAGAGCCCTGGGAAAAGTAGCTCAACCACACGTTAAACTAACATCACAGCCCCTGAGTTTCATTTACTAGTAGATCTCTCAGAATTTATTTTCAGAAAATAACACTAAAATAGAGATGACCAAATATCTTTATTTAGAGAATATCCTGAAAACTTTTTTTTATATTTAATAGAAAAAAATTATTTAAAAAATACTGTAAAATTACCTAATTACCTAATCAATTCAATTTTATTAAAAATTTCCACCCTGGCTGGTACAGCTCAGTAGATTGAGCGCTGGCTACGAACCAAAGCATCACAGGTCTGATTCCCAGTCAGGGCACATGCCTGGGTTGCAGGCCATGGCCCCCAGCAACTGCACATTGATGTTTCTCTCCCTCTCTCTCTCTCTCTCTCTCTTCCTCCCTCCCTTCCCTCTCTAAAAATAAATAAATAAAATCTTTAAAAAACTTTCTAAAAAAAAGTCCTACATTTTGAGATTATGTTACTCCTCTTAGCAATTGTCAATTGTTTTCTACTAATGAAAATAGGTTAAAAAAGGATGCATTAGTATGTTAAAAATGTAACTGCAGAGCATTACAGCTTTCTTTTAGTTTGTACTATATTTTTCTCTCACTCACCCAGAGTCATCTTTCTCTTTAAAAATGCAAATACACATTGATTTATTATGATTGAGTAAACATACTGATTCTACCAATTAGAAGAGTAAATGATATGCAAGATTTAAAAATTAATTTTTAGAATCTCCCAAAGGTGATTACAGCTGTATCAACAGGTATCAGGCAAATGTCCCATACCCTAAAACAAGGTTAAATATTGCATTGTTTGAGTTAAAGAATGCTGAATTTACTCTGCAGTCACCTTAAAATTTGATTAATTTGATTTAATCAGCAGCTTCTGGTCTTTCTAAGAAAGATAAAGAATGATAATTTTTCTCTTTCTCTCTCTCTCTTACTTTCTTTCCTTTTTAAACTTTAATTGTAATGTAAATTTATTCAGGTAGAATTCTCAAACTGGGACTCCTATTACCATTCAATATCACAAATGTTTTTGTGGTAGAAAAGAAAAAAATGACCAGATTCATTAGAAGATTGAATTGTTATTGTTTTTAAAGGAGTTTTGATGTTGTGCACCAAGTTAGAACATGAAAACTAAAGGAGACATCCGTGAGGATATTGTCAATATCCTCAGAAACCCTCGGCTGATGACCTCGTCTATAAAAACTGAGCTTTGTGGGATCTAATGAACCCTCTGAACTAACAAGCAAAACAGAGACCGACTCAGAGATGGAGAGAGGAGGACAGCTGGTGGGGGGAGGTGGGGGGTGGGGGGACTGAGCAAAAAGGAAAAAGGACTCATGGACATGGACGACAGTGTGGTGAGTGTGGGGGGGGTGGCTGGAGGTGGAAGAGGGTATGGGGGCGATAAATGGTAATGGGAAAAATAAAAATTAAGTAAAAAAAAAGATAACTGAGCCTTCTTTTCAACTGATTCATTGGGTGCTAAGTGTAGAAAGAAACACATTGATCACATTCTGGTTCTCTTCGTTTCACTAGTGAAGAAAACCAGGACATCTTTGAAAATTTCATGGCCTGATTGTTTTTTGGTAGAGGTAACAGAATGTTATATATTAACAGCCACATTTTTTCTGTTAGTTTCTCATGTGTTGGAATTAAATTTTATCCCAACTCGTTTGTATTGCTAATTGATGGCGTCCACACTGACCGAAAAGTTGGTTTTCCCCTTTTCCAGTAACAGCATGTAGATATAGGCACAGAGCTCACCGAATATACTTACTCTAAAAACAAAGCTAATATTCTGCCTTTTAAGTACTTTATCAGTTTATCCTTGAAGATTCTTAAAAGTTGGAAAAAGCTCTACTTGATTCTTAAGTATCAAGCTCAGAAACCAACGACACAATGCATGGAAGTGCACACACACCTTTTATCTTTATCTCTGGATGTTGCTTACAATGGGCTATTAATAAGCCACAGAAGTTTTTATTTATTTATTTTTTATCCTCACCTGAGGACACTTTTTCATTGCTTTTAGAGAGAGGGGGAGGGGGAGAAAGAGAAAGAAACATCTCTCTCATATGTGCCTTGACCGGGTATTGAACTCACAACCTGGGTATGTGCCCGGACCGAACCCACATGCTGATTGAACCCACGACCTTTCGGTTTATGGGACGATGCTCCAACCAGCTGAGCCACCTGACCAGGGCAGCCATAGAGGTTTGATATGCTCCCACCTATGGAAGAGAAATAGTAACTCTTAATCTAACTTCAAAAATCAAAACTGTTCGTTGAAATCATGACAGTTTGAGAGCTTCCTGAAACTAAAGTGGTGCCAAATCACTGGTGTTATTTTTTTAGGAATTTTTAAAAATATTTTTAAACAGATATAAATAATTACATACAATAAAATGCACAGATCTTAAGTGTAGAGCTTAATAAATTTTAATACGTGTTTACCCTCATGTAATCAACATGCCAATCAAAACAGAATGTTTTCATCATCCTGGAAAGTTCTCCTGGTTTTTCCCCACTCATCCCCAATCTCCCATCTTCCCCGCACCGGGCAAAAACCACCGTTCTGATTCTAACCCACTTGATGCGTGTTGGTGCCCCACTTTTAAGAAATAAAAATTGAATTCATGCAGTTTTGCCTGCAGCCCCAAAGTGTCTCTTGGCAGAGTCTTCCTCCCCTTTTTGGGCCACAAGTACTGCTTGAGGTTTGTTTTAGATCCACGTGGGCAGCCTTCCAGGAGGAAGCCGGTCTCAGCCCCAGTGCAGACACATCCAGGCTGGGAGGAATGCACATTTATGGGCTACGAAGGCCAACCGTGACCCTCAACCTGGTGGCATAAGAAGAGCTCTCAGCCTGAAAAATGAAGTTCTTTTCTCCAAAACAACAGCCTTCTCGCCTGTCTCTGTACCCACAACTGCTTCGCGGTAGCTGCCTTTGCTTCTGTGGATGGAATTGGCCGTGTGCTGGGAAGGAGCTCATGCACTATCTTCCTGCCTGGAAGGCCTTTCCCAGGTTCAATAACCTCCCTGCTGCGGTGCGACTCCTTTTACCAGCTCCTTCCACCTCCCCAGACGTGTCGTTCTTAAAATATCCTTCTTTAAAATGTTGAGAGAAAGAAAAAAATTATACAACTCATATAACTTTCAGATTTCTGGAAACTTTGTAATTATAACCAACGCAATGGCTCATGAATATTTATAGCTCAAAAACAATAGTATTAACTGAAATACATTTTGAAGGTCTCCTAACATAGATTTCATTTAGCCCAAAGAAATAATTTCTTGCTTTTTCTTACCAGGTGAAAATATTGATCTGCTTCCACTTCTCTCCAGCCAATAATTTCATACATTGTTTTGAGAAGGATGATGCCCTATGATGGTAAATGCTGGAGCAATTTCATATGTACATGTCATACATATACAGAAGTTCTGTGAATCATGCAAAAGAGGATAAAAAATAATGCATTGGATAAGACTGTGCAAGACATAGTTAAATTTTATGTGCTCTACTTGCTCTGTCCAGGTTAAGAGTAAATTATTTCTACAAAGTAAGTATCATGGTATCCACTGTTTTGTGTGGTAGCTGAAAATTACTTGCCCACCAAGAGGAAATTTGAAAGTAGCCCCCTTCTCTCAGCCCCCACACAGTACTGCCAGAACCAGAGAATGCCCACGTATCGAGAAAATATACATGCATTCCCTGCTGGGCAAGTTACAAAGACAGATATCTCGAGCTACCGACAGTGTTTTACAGAACATGAAAGAGGAAAAAAAAAAGCCTTCTCTAAAACTTGTTTGATAAATGCTTTCTACTTTAAGAGAGAGCTTTAAGAAAACACACAGAAAAACAGACTAAACACTTACATTTTCCGTAAAAACTGGGAGCAAGTAGATGGCACGAGACAGGAACCCGGGGGACGCATGGAAAGGAATTAGAGTGGACCATTCCCGGGACTCTCGCCCCGGTCCCACTGGGTCCCTGCGCGAGATGAGAGTCAGCTCTGCAGAAAGAAGCTGGAAATAACACGGAGGCTGTAAGATTTTCTCTAAATGTACCAGAAACAGCAAACAATAAAGGATTTGTAATGTGTTCTGCAAGCAAAGAGTAGGTTTGGTTATTCTCAAGAAATTCTGTTATTTGTCCTTGAGCATTTTCTTAGAGATTTAAGTGTCCTTATATAAATGGTACCAGACACTGCTTGCGTGACTCTTCAGATGCACTCAGCTAGCTCTGTCTCTAAAACCTTGGACATGACCGAGGGGGCCAGTACCACCACCACAACCATGGCCTTTAACTCAGACACTCTCGCAACCCCACAGGAGTCACCTCCCACCCACGCTGTGGTCACTGACCTCCAGCCCCGGGGCTTCCTGTTGCCCTTAGTCACGACAAGTCCTGGCATCAGCTGGGAGGCCCAGGAAAGCCCACCCACCGCGTATGAGGAAGTTCACATCCCACAGCGCCGTCCTTCGGCCGTGGGACACCTGGTTGGGAACGCATCCTTCCCTTTCCTCCCTGTGGATGGGCTGAGCTTAGCAGAAGTCGTTTACAGGGGACAGCCCTCCCCCGTGCTCATGCCAAACGGCAGCCAGGTCAGGGACAGCCTCCCCGCGCTCCCCGGCCCTGTCCTGACTCCCTCCGCTCTCCCCCAGCCTGCCCTGAGGCCGGCATGCCCTAGGGAAGGAGGGCCACGAGCTCTTGCCCAGGGGTCTCGCAGAGACCCAGCGGGAAAACCCAGCGGCTATCAGAATGAAGACCCCCCCAGCTCCGAGAGGAACGAGGTCAGAAGCAAGCCCCACACACGTCTGTCTCAGCAGAGCTCACTTCTGCCCGCAAGTGACATGTCGGTCTCAGCGTCTAGGACTCTCCGACTTTGGATCCTCTTTCAGTTCTGTAAGAGAGGCCTTCATTATGTCCAGACAACGGAGACTCAGCACAGCTGAGTGGTAGAATCGGTGCTTGAATCTGGTTTAAGATTTATAAATTAAAACATGTCATCTCCCATGCTTTTCCACTGTCTCCGATTATGGTGAGAAATGTCCGTCCATTCAATGCAAACAAGGAAACTTCAGTAAGCTCATTCCTGGGTGAGAGTTAAAAAAAAAAAATGAGAAAACTTCACATGTGAAGAACCATCTCTCAAATCCTTTACTTTTGCATCCCCCACGTGTTCTTTTTCTGTTTAAATCATGAATCTCTATTTTTCTGCCCTGGCCTTTGTGGCCCCAGTTTGTTGGGGCTTCATCTGTGGACCGAAAGGTCCCGGGTTCAATTCCTGGTCAGGGCACTTACCTAGGCTGAGGGTTTGGTCTCCGATCCCGAACAGTAGTTCTCTCTCACACTGATGTTTCTTTCCCTCTCTGTCTCCCTTCCTTCCTCTCTCTCCAAAGTCAATAATATGTCCTCAGGTGAGGATAAGAAAATATATATATAAAGTTAAAAAAAGAATCTGTATTTTTCTCAGAGAATGACTAAGTTAATAACAATGGGATTCCAAATAACGAAGTAAGATTTATAAGTTGATTTTTATGTAATAATTTAGATAACATACAGAAAACATCATCTTTTTTCATAAAAGAGATCTTATAAAAGTAAAGTATTATTCTCTGCATGTTTAAATAAAGTCATAATCATGAAATAAAAATTAAAAACAGCTGTAAACTGTGCAGACCATTTTATTTGCATTTCCCATCTATAAAATGCTGCTTACTGCCATGCACAGCATCATTAAAATCCCGATGATAACTAAACAGTTAAAATAAACCCCATTTTTCCACAGAGCAAAGCAGTTTCTCCTCATAAATGTTTAGTTCTTGGTTTTAAAGTTTAAATTTCCACCAGCTCTCTCTTTTGATTGCTAGTTAAATTATATTAACATCCGACACAGACTGTTCCTTTCAATTTCCTCTCCAATTATATCCCTCTCTCTTTTAACCTTGAACGATATTGCCCTAAAATTAACTTGACTTCAAAACTCTGTAGACATGTTATCTCATTTGTGTAGGACCAAAAGTTTTCCTGTGACAAAGGTCACGCTTTTAACAAAATCACATTGGAGTTGGATCTAACTTTTCTTTAAAATATTACTTTCTTCACCTTTGGTCAAATTGAGCTTCTAATTTATATTCGGGCAACTTTTCAAACACTTGTGTGTGTCTTTTCGACTCCTGTGTGCGGTGGGCTGTTTTGGGTGCTGTCGAAAGGATTCCAGTTCCAGAACTGGGCTTCCGTTCTGCACTCTAACTACTCAGCCTAACCAAGCAACTGTATTACTTACCCAGGAATTAAGATCCTGCAACTTTCTCGAAAGAGACTGTCCAGAGGACTAGATAAATTTTCACCATGCCACCCAGAGAATGGGTAGGAGCTTCTTTGCATTCCTCTCGGGGTACGTGTTTTTGTTTGGGATGCAGCAAACATCATATCCAGCGAAAGGTAGCTTCCCCCTTGACATCTCCACCCTCGCTCCCGTTCCTCGGCCCGAGAGGATGTCCCGTGGTGGTGTTTGCAGAGGCTGCCAAGCCTTCCCCTTCCAGTCCAATCACGTCTAGCCTCCTAGAGTCAGTGCAAAATGTGAGGATGTCCTAGAAAAAAAAGGACAATGCAAAAGGGACAAAATTAAAGCACAGGGCTAAAGAGTGACTACGTTTTGTTGCAGTTTCTCGGTTAACAGGTATTCATACATCAAACTCACGTCAACTAATTATTTCATTTAGTAAACATTATTTTTTTGCTTCTCTTTTTATAAAATTTTTATTATATTTTTCCATTACTATTTTATCCCCTTATACCCCCTCCTCGATCGCCACACTGCTGTCCATGTCCGCGAGTCCTTTTGCCTTTTTCCTCCATCCCTCCCACCTCTAACCTTCCCCCTCCTCAGCTGTCATCCTGCTCTCTATCTCTGAGTCTGTGTCTATTTTGCTTGTTAATTCAGTTTGTTCATTAGATTCCACATATGAGTGAAACAATATTTTATTTGTCTTTCTCTGACTGACCTATTTCACTTAGCATAATGTTCTCCAGGTCCATCCGTACCATCGCGAAGGGCAAAATTTTCTTCTTTTTTTATGGCCAAGTAGAGTGGAGGAGGATCTTTCCTGGTATGAAGTGCAGCTTATGAGTAGACCTGGGTTGGGGAGACCAGAGGGAGGAAACCAACCTGAGTCTATGGTAGAAAGGCAAAGGAAGGGCATGTAAAGCTACCTCAGTGAATGGGGGAGGCACTACCTAAAAGGCTAAATAATTTTCACTCAAAACTCACTTTTTAAAAAAGATTTTATTTATTTATTTTTAGAGGGAGGGGAGGGGAGGGAGAAAGAGAGGGAGAGAAACATCAATGTGCAGTTGCCTCTCGTGCGCCCCCTACTGGGGACCTGGCCTGCAACCCAGGCACCTGCCCTGACTGGGAATTGAACTGGTGACCCTTTGGTTCACAGGCAGGTGCTCATTCCACTGCGCCACACCAGCCATGGCTCAAAATCTGCTTTTATATTTTTGGAAAAAATACCAGGTTCCTCTTACAATGTTTTTTTAAAGATTTATATTAATAAAGAGTCATCAGGCATTAGCTGTCAAATTGAACAATCTATATTCCACTCCATCTAAATTAATCTTTCCCTTCTTAGCTTCAAAATCAATTGTTCTTTATCCTTCACAGCATATCTTAAAGAGGACATGCGTCATAGCTCTTGGTGAATCACTTCTTTCTGCTAGTCCATATCCATGTTTTCAACACGCCCACCCCCATAGCACCTACATAGTTTCTAAATGAGTCGCCACTCAATATGTTCATTGAAGTGGATGGAATGGAATGTCTGGAAGATGGGACTTGGTTAGCAAAGTGTTCCTTTTTATTATTGACTTTTCACTTTTTAAGTATCTTCGCTTTTTTTCCTCTGCAATTGATAATGAGATATGCAAGCGTGGGGCTGGACCCCCAGAGAGTCAGTGTACATCTGCAATACTGTCAAGGGAAGGAAAAGAACTTGCTTTGCACCTGTCAGAAATGCTTCTCAGCTGCCCTGTGACTTTTCAGAGCTTCCTTATGCTGCTTTTATTTTTAGCTAAAACCTAGTTTAACTTTGTATTTACTTTATATGATTAAATTTGAAACTTTAAGTGTGCTCTTATTTTGGAATCTTAGGAAGTTTTCTTTTTATCTTATTCAGTGCACTTTCACTGTGAATATAATACATGTTATACAAGTGCATGGAATAGGGAACAGTAAATGCAGAACAGTGATTTTCTATGCAAATGTAGACAGAGATTATCTGGGTATCTCCCCAACTATCAGTTTGTAATAAATGCATTTGCAAGATGTAACTAAAGAATGTATTTATTATAAGTAGGTAGTCTTATATGTGTGTGTGCATATAAACAGTTTCACACAGAATTTAAAATATAATTAAATGTAATTGAAATCATATTGAGCATGTTATTTTATAGTCTATCTTTTTAAAATTATTAAAATTATATGAGAAATTCCCCAAGACCTTCCTAGGACTTTAAATGGTAGCATTGCATAGTGTTCCTTCAAAGGATATCCATACTTTGTATATGATAAATGTCAAAGTGAGGATACTTTGGGTTTTTGTTATTAAAATTAACACAGCAATGGGGCATTCTTAAATACAAATCATTTTTGTTTCTCGGCATGGTTGATCAGTTTGGTCTGAAGGAAAAATATTTGTGGGGCTTCAATTTGTTGAGATGTCAAAAATACATTATTATGAATCTCTGTTTATTTGTTGTGTATCAAATACAAGGCAGGTATCATACAGAAATAACTTCTAATTATTACATAATTCATGAAACATTTTCCAAGATAACATAATAAAAATGAAAAATAAGCCCATGGGATACAGGTTGTATTTGTATCCTTATTTTTGTCTCTCTTTAAAGATTATGGTATTTCTAACAGATTAGTTAGTATGTGCTTAAATTTTTAGAAAAAGGTGTCCATAGAGCCTATTCAAACATCGTTTGCTCTTGGAAGTGTCATTGTGTTACATGGTAAAGGATCAGGTTACAATAAAGTTAATTTCATCCAAATATAGTGGTGGGTTGACTAGTGACTGATAGTAATATTTTTATTTTGGATTTGGAAAATAGAATTTAAAAAAAAAAAACAAAAACCATGTTCTTGATGTAAATAATTGTCACTTTTAAGTAAGTTGATACATATTTTCAAATTAACAAATTTCAATTAATAAAATTCCCAATACAGCCAAAATTATTAGACATAGGCTCTACAAAACAAATTATGTGGGGTTTTCAATAATTTTGAAGACTATGAAGAGATTCCAAGACCAAAACATCTTAAAACTATTGCATTATAAAATGCTGTCTGCATAAATATAGAAGTTGTAGGTCCAAAATTATTCTGAGGTACAAAATGGGATTCCCAGTCGTATTGTCTTATTTAAAAAGAGGCAGTAAGTTAAATGTTTTTGTTCTTATGGAGCCTTATTATTCATTTTTTAATAATATACAGGCCTGACAACTATTCCTAGTGTTTGTACTTGAACCTCAGATGGTTCCTACTGAATGCAAAGAGGAAGAAAATAACATCTGGCTACCACAAAATGAACCAATAACACAAATTGGGTTATGAATATTTAATCTACATATTAACTCACCTACAGAGAAGCAAGGCTTGCAAAACCAATGAATAAACGCATAGCTATTTTCTGAATTATTTATCTATTTGATCTTTTCTAGAAGGGGTAGTATGCAAAATTTCGCTCCTTTAAAGGAATGACATTGGATACTTGAAAAAATGCTCTCCCATGGTAAGCACTGGACAATGCTACGCTAATAAAAAGGAAGATGGAAGATGAAGATTTACGTAATTGAACACCTCTTGAAATGAGATGTTAGCTTGGTTCTTGTTTACACATTAGAATACTTTGGAACTGTCAGAGATGGTAATGACTAACCAGACAAGAACAAAGGAAGTGCATTTGTCTCTCATCCTTCTGGTTTTCAGGGGCGGGAGGATGGACTTCTATCCATCAGTGAACTCCCATGCACGTAGCCTCCCGTGTGAGCTCTATGGTATATACAGGACAATTCGGTCTTGTGTGTGTGTCCAAAATACACGTGTACTTCCTTGTGATAGTTTACTTGAGTGAATCAGAGGTTGAGTTCCTGTACTTTGTGGTTAACTGTTTTTGATGCCTTTCCAAAACTTCCTGTACTATGTGAAGTCCTCCTTATTCCTCCAGGCCTCCCTCATGTCTTTTTCAATACCAAACAATAAGATAATTTTTATCTCCTCAGAACTGACATAGGATGTTTCAAGTTTTATTCTGAGTTTTTACCTTAGAGTGCTTATTATGTGTCTTGCAATGTAAGTACTTAGATGCAATCCCCGTTACTGACAGCGTGATCCATTCTTTGAAGTAAACTAGCCTTGTGTCTTACCCAGCTTCGTCTACATTGATCTGGTGCAAAAGTGGGATCTTACCAGATGGCTATTTTGTGTTAACTGAAGTGAATTAGAACAGTTCTATCAGCTCAGTTCAAATCTCCTGGTGAGGGGACCAAAAATAAATTTATACAAGGAAAGCCAAACATCAACAGTGCCACCTTTTAATTTTGTATCGTTATTGCATAAGAATTTCAGATATTGGCCTCATTCATCTGCCAAGTTACTAATATTACCTCAATACTTAAATTCTTCCTATTGTAGAAAAGTAATATAAAATCTATGTTTTTAAATCTTAGGCTAGTGCCCTGGTTGGTGTGGCTCAGTGGACTGAGCGCGGACTGCAAACCAAAGTGTCACCTGTTCGATTCCCAGTCAGGGCGCAGGCCTGGGTTGCAGGCCAAGTCTCCACTTGGGGCACACACGAGACAGCCACCCATTAATGTTTCTCTCCTTCCTTTCCTCTCTCTCTAAATATAAGTAAAAATAAAATCTTTTAAAAAATCAATAAATCTTAGGCTAAATGTTAACAGTCTTTTCTTTTTTTTCCTCTAAATAATATTAAAGTTCTAATTACTAAAAACTAGGTTATAAAGAGACATGAACTGTTAGAGATGCAAACTGGAACTGAGACATCTATAGCATCTGTCCAATCAAGGTTTCACTTTGGGGATTCAATATTTTTTTAATTTTTACCTAAGGACATGCTTAGACTTTAAAGAGAGGGGAAGAGAGGGAGAAAGAGAAGGAGAGAAACGTCAATGTGAGGTGGAAACACCAGTCGGAAGCCTCTCGCATGTGCCCTGACCAGGAATAGAACCCATGACCTTTCAGTTTACTGGATGACACTCCAAACAACTGAACCGCACCGGCCAAGGTCAGAGTTAGTTGGGTTGGGGGGCTCAATTT